TGGAAGCTAATATCACGTCACTTATAAATGGCTGTATTACCAGGGCTGCTACATTTGAGAAGTCATGCGGTGAACAACTTTCAATCCACTCACACAGATGACAGTGTGAAATAGCACCCCCTAGAGGTGTGCAACATAGCACCCTTGGGTATTAGTATTATGCATAATTCATTTGGGAATTGCTTTACAGAGATCTTGAATTGATTAATGAAAAGTCTTGAATGAAGCCAAGTAGTAGTAATACCCTATGTTCTAAAACTTGTAGTATCTCGAAAAATTCCTTCCTCCTAGAGAACTATCCAAGGAATTTTTTTCCAATTATCTTTTTGTTATTGTTGTAATAAGGAGAGTTTTACACATCTTCATTCATTCAGCAAGCATTTATTGAGTGGCTACTATGTACCTGGTATTGCTCCAAGTGCCAGGGACAGAAATAGTTATCAGGAAAAAAAAAAAAAAAGCCCCTGTTCTCATGAAGCAATCTTCTAGCAGAATAGGCAGCGGGTAAAAAAAATAAGCTTGTACTGTGACCAACACAGTGTCAGGTGGAGCTACATGCTGTAAGGAGAAGTGAAACATTATACAGGGGACTGGCACCACTTACAAAATGGGAAGTGAGGACCTCCAGTGCGGGGGCTTTGCCTGATGGAAGCCAATGGCCTTCCCACCACCCACTTTTCCTCTGTCTCCATCCCCTGCCCAGTAAAACAGCTTCGGGTTTTGGTTTCTCTCTTCCTTTTAAACTCAAGGATTCTCTTTCTTAGCTTCATCCACCCCTAAAACCCACCCCAACAACAAATGCTAATATTTCATGTGGTTGCCCACGACCCTCTGGTCTATGTGAAAGGACAGAAATATGTCCAGAATATGGCACCGAGGGGAGGAGGGTCAGGATGACCCACATTTTCAGGCCTGTCTTGGATATCTAGAAAACAGTATGCCTTTGAATACTCCTCTCTCCTCTCCACCACCTGCACACAGAAACATCCTCCTTTCAGATGGACATCAGTATCTCGTAGTGATGTGGCTGTTCTTATATTTTAAGGTTCATCTAGAAGTATATTGTCTCTGAAACATTTATGCATTAGATTTCCTCACAGATGACAGCTGAGATAGACATCCTCAACTGAGCCGTCCCGGGGCGCCTATGAACAGGGGGTGTGTGCACGGATGTGAGAGTCGGGGCCGGTGTTCTCTTGACTCTACACTGGTCAGTACATTTTTCTGCCCTCCAACCCCATTTCCACTTGGTTCTGATACAGACAAGTGACGAGAGCTAATCCTTGCCTGTTTGTAATCTCTCTCACCCTACCTTCTCCCTACATTCACACACAGACACACCCCCCCAATCCATTCATCTCTTGGGAATGCAGTTGCATGAATGTTGCCCCACCCACCAGGAAAAGCTACAAGTTTCAACAGCTCCAGCCCCAGCAGGAAAGGCCTTTGTAGGAGGCATTACCTGCTAATGAACAGAAGCAATTTGAAACCGGTCCCACCAGTGTGACGAGGTGACTGACTCAAACTTCTCAATAGGTTTCTCCAAGTGTGACAGACACAAACAACCCAGTTTCCTTTAAGGAGTCACAGGAAAGGTCAGCCTGGTCAAGCAGCAGGGGGACAACACCCCTGGACATGTGGCCTTACAAGCACAGTATCTGGGGGGAAATGCCATGATAGAGGTTTGTGAAAAATCGCTGGGGGTGAAAGATGAGCAGGAAAGGCTTCGGGGAGGGGTGGCAGGGGAGGGTGGCACTTAAGTTGAGGTGAGAGGGAGAAATTGCCAGAGGGATGGTTTAAGAAGGTGAACCTTTGAAAAATGTTTTAAATATCATAAATCTCCATTTAAGAAATTTTCCAAAACCTTAACCATATGGAATATTTATTAAGACAGAAAAGAAAAATCTTAGATATTTAAACATATCTTGTAGAGATTAAGAAACTTTTAACAAACATCGTGACAGCATATTTCTGACCAATACCACAGTATTCTGTTCAAGCTTTCTAACTGCCTGAGTCAAAACAAAGTTATTCAGAAATTATAAAACAAAGCATCCAAAACAATGGCTTCTTTGCCTGGAGAGCAAGGTATTGCACAAAGACGCTTGAACTTACATACAAAGATTTCAGGCATTCAAATCATGCTAAATTCTCTTGTTTATTCACAAGCTTACTCACAGTTATGGGGGAAACAGGGACTATAGGAAAGAAATGCTTAATAGTCAGAAGTTCATTACAGGGTTACCATTTGACCCACCAATTTCATTTCTAGTTATAAACCTAAAAGAAATAAAAACATCCATATAGAAAAACTTATACACAGATGTTCATAGCAGCATTACTTACAGTAGCCAAAATGTGGGAACAACCCAAATGTCCATCAACTGATGAATGGATAAAGAAAATATGGCACATCCATACTATGGAATATCATTTGGCAATAAAAGGAAAGTATTGATACATGTTATAAAATAGATGAACCCTGAGAGCATTATAATGCATGAAAGTAGCCAGTCACAAAAGGCTACATATTATATAATTCTATTCATACGAAAAGTCCAGAATAGGCAAATTTATAGAGAAAGAAGTTTGTGGTTGCACAGGGCTGGCTGACTGGAATGGAAAATGACTGCTAATGGATAAGAGGTTTCTTTTGTGGGTGATTAAAATGCTGTAAACTTAGATTGTGGTGATGGTTGCACAAGTCTGTGAATGTGCTAAATCCACTGAACTGTTCCCTTTACATGGATGTATTTTATTGTATGTGAATTGTGTCACAATAAAGATGCTTAGAAATGTTATTGTATTAACTTTAGCCTAACAATGAAAATGAGCTGGGCTTTTGGATTTAATTAAAATCAAGCTCAGCTCACATTGGATTAGACCACCTGCACCTGGTGTCTGCAGACGTTGGTAAGAGAGAAGACATGGCTGATGGAAAGAGATGAGGAGGAAGCAGTATAAGAAAGACTTCATCCAGACTCCGGGGAATGAACTAATTGATGTTCAACAACAAAAACCACCACAACACATTAAAGATGGTTTCAGGATGCCAAATCTAGAAACCAGAAAGTGACATATAACTTCTGCTGAAATCAGTAGCCCTCAAACATGTAATGACAGCTTCACGGAACTATGAAATACATACAGCTTTCTGTAGAAACACAGCCGCTATCCAACAAAGCAAAGTAACTTCACTGAACCAGGTTAGTTGGTTACATATCCTTGTCCTGTAGAAAGAAGAACTCAGGTACCAGACAGTGGATGCAGTTTTCAGTGAAAAAAACATCAGGCCTAATGTTAATGAGCCTCAATGTACACCACAAGATCCCTAACGACCTCCAGTGGTCACAACGAAAATTGCTTGGTTTGTAATACAAGAGACTAGACAACGATGCCCCACAGAGTAATTATAGGTATGGGGTTTGATCTATTATTTTATCGTGAAAGCTGCGAAGTTGGAGCCAAAGGAAACCTAGCCTGTGACCACCATAAAAATTTCCCTTTCCCTGATTTTTAAGCCTTGACTGAAGAGCCTCTTTGTCTGTGGCTTGTCTTTGCAGCCTCTTTCAACACAGAACTAGAAGATGTCTGTCTCCCCCCGCCAGTGACTAGGTGACTCCATCAGGGACAATCCACTATGAGCCCACGGATGCAAAAGAAAGCTGACAACAGAAAAGGTGAGCTTGTGGGTAGGAGAGATGAAATGGCTGATTGAAAGAGACAGGCAGGCAGAAGTGTAAGCAAATGAGAGGCAGGTATTGTAAACAAATGAGCTGATTTGGTCTCACACAGCTCTCAGATACTTTTTGGTAACTACTTAAGAAGTTTGAAGGTTAGCCTCTCCCTCCAAGAGCATCCTACTTCTGGTTGTAATGAAAGCAACACCAAATGATCCCTTACCCAGAGGTCCACTGAATGAACTTAAGTAAATAAGCCCAAATCACTTCATACGGTCTCTTCTGCAGACTTGATGACATCCTAGCTCTCTGCCCTTTGGGTGAAATGTTCACTCAATTAAGAAAGGACAGTGTTCCAGAAATAGGATTCCATTATGACCCCTGTTGTTGGCCTCAGGCTGCCAGAAATCCCCCAGTCTAACAAGGTCATTTATTTGGAGACAAAACCTGGAAACCCATCCTTTTAAGCACCTACTGGCCTGGCTGGATTCTTCAACCAGGTACAGGCATGTAGAGGGCTCTCTAGAATATTTGATCAGTCCACATATCTGAATACCTTTAATTTCATCAAAGACAGTCCACTTGTAGCATTCATCTGGCAAGTTAACAAGCCACTAGTTGCTCTGATAATAACCAATGTTTGATGTGCTAATTAGCAAAGTACCTGATAATAACTGAGACACTGTGACCTTTCCAATACAGCGCTAACTAATCACCCCAGGAGTACCAACTCCTGATACAAAAACTGGCAGCCCCCGAGTGTAAGTTCAACCAACACTTTTCATGTCACACCATCCGTGCTGGAGTATTTTTAAAGTAAATTATAGACATAATAGGATGCAAGGGAAAGAATAAGAGCCAAGACTTACTGGCAATCAGACCACTGCCATACAAGTCTTGCCCAGATTCCTAAATGTTGCTGCTATGGTCACTTCTCAGATATTTTTCAGATCTATCCATTCATGTAACAAATATTTCAGAGTACCTACCTGTATATCATATATCATTTGAAGTATCTTGTCTGTCTGATAGTTCCAAGGAGAATTTAATATACTAAGAGAATGTTAAAAGTTCACTGACTGACGCCGTTTATAACTTTTTCCAAAATGAAACAACCCACTGGGTATGAAGGTGTTCAAGCCCCCCCAAGGCTCCCTTTCATCCTCAAAGAGAAAGCAGCACTAGAGAAGACTGTTTATAAACCTTAAATATCAATTGTTTTATTTTTTTTTCTAAAGGAAAAAAAAGAAACTCTTAAAGGTTATATGAACACTTTATGGTATTTTCTTTAAGATAATGACATTATTAGGCTACATTTACCTTAATTGTGATTTACTGCATCGTAAAAAAATCGTGAATAAGAATTCTTGACGTTGCTTGTTAGTCCAGAGGTCAAACCAATGACTTATAAGAGCAACTCTTTCCTGAAAGAGCTGTAAGGAGAGGGGGTGACATTTTCCTTACAGTTCTATACATTCTTAGTTACTAAGCGATTGTTGGCAACGTAACAACCTCACAGCTAATATTTACATAGTACATTACAGTTCACAAAGCACGTTCACATATGTAGGAAGGGTCTTTCCTTTCTCTTAAACTGCTTTTATCCAGGGATGCAGATGAGCGCAAGCTAGTTGGGTGGGCTGGTGGGGATGTAATTACAGAAGTGCCCAAGGGCAGCCCAGGGAGGTCACGAATCCTGACTCTTGTTTCTACCTAAGCTAATATGGCCAGGGAAACAGAGTCCAAACATCTCATCTTGAAAACACATACAGTTCACTTGTTTAATTGTGAAAACAAGGCCTTTTGAAGTAGGTATGATTTTACTAACCTACAGTCCAATATTTTCAGAGCACCCGCCAGAGTGGAAGTCAGTAAATATTGCTGAATACTCATTGTTAGGAATGTCTCCATGGAAAACATACACCAGGGAACAGCGTTCCCCTAAACCTGGTTTCAGTCCAGTTTTGCTCAGATGACACATATAAGCTCACTGTCTTTATTACTAGTCAGGCTTTGGTCCCAGCCTAGCTGGTCTGCTTCCCTTCTGAACAGGCCTGGACCACGCATGCGGTCTGGGGACCCAGGCAGCCTTCTCCATGAAGGTCTGGCAGAGCTGCCTGGGCCATTCAGTGACCACTTGCCCCATTACCTTTCAAAGGAGGGGGCATCCCCAGGCTCCATGAACTATATAATTGGCACAGGAGGGAAAAGAGAATTAAAGAAACACATATCAACAGTCTCCACACCAAAAACCACCAAAAGCACCTTCTCTTGTCTCCTCCCCCTTCCAGCAGCCAGCGTGGGTCCCGGAGGTTTCTGTTTTGCCTCTGGAGGTGCCCACAGGGCAAAAGTGGAGGCAGATCTGCACCTCCCATAAGATTGGAGCTGTGGATTGGGGTGAAAAGAGACTGTCTCTTGGGGCAGGCAAATGCAGGTTTGTTTTTGTTTACAGTGACTCAGAAACTAAGTTCTTAAAAAAAAAAAAGAAAACAGGAGGGGAGGGTATAGCTCAAGTGGTAGAGCGCATGCCTACCGTGCATGAGGCTCTGGGTTCAATCCCCAGTATCTTCATTAAAAAAAAAAAAATTTAAATGGATAAACCTAATTATCTCCACCCTCCACCAAAAAAGAAAAAAACTAAGTTCTTTACAAATATTTATCTTATTTTAAATGTGTCAACATAAGACCCAGAATATCAAAGTAAAATCCACCTTAGAAATTAACCCTGGTTTATACTAGAGGGTGTGACTCACCTGTCGATTTAATGACTTGTTGCTAAAAGGTGTCCAAGCACTGAATCTTGTGTGGAAGCTCTCCATTTCCAGGGTTTCCCTGGGAGAATTCCCAGCTGACATCTCAGCAAATTATTTTTGTCCAGTCCTAGAAACTACAGGTTCATTTCAATACATGTTCAATTAAAACCCACCTAGAACATCCAGCATATTAATGTTGTTCTTACAGGAATAATAAAATTGCAACAATTCATTTATATATTTTTATATAGATCAAATTAGAGCAATTCATATCTATCTATACCTAGATATATATATATATATAGATGTCCATACAAATATTCACAGGGAGTTCATGACTCTAAATCACTGCAAGTATTCTCTCCTCAACTACTTGCACCCAAATGGGAATCCAAACTAGAGCTGTTTTTAACTTTGCTGGGAAAATGACTCAGCAATTCTTATCAGCCATAAATACTGACTCTTTCTTTCCCTGGAAAGCAAGAATCTGAAGGGCTCAAAGAGGGGACCCCACTGCCTAGCTGTTGAGGACGTAAGTGGAAGATATAGAGGAAAAGACGATATAGAGGAAAAAATCAGACTAATATATTATCTATTGCCACATAGCAAATTGCCTTAAAATATAAAAGCTCAAAACACGAAACTCTTATTGTTATCTCAAAGTTCCTGAGGGTCAAGAACCCAGGCACAACGTAGCGGGGCACAGTACTGTTAGTCTACTAGGGCTGCCTTTACAAAATACCACAGACTGGGTGGTTTGAACAACAGGAATTTATTTTCTCACAGTTCTAGGTGCCATCAGGGCAGTTCTAGTGAGGCCTCCCTTCCTGTCTTGCAGGCAGCAGCCTTCCTGCTGTGTTCTCACAAGGCCTTTATTCTGAGCGCACAGTGGGTGGAGGTAGGGGGCACTCTGGTGCCTCTTCCTCTTCTTATAAGGACACCAGTCCTATTGGGTGAAGGCCCCCAACCTTATAACCTCACTTAACTTCTACTACATCTTTATAGGCTTTATCTCCAGATGCAGGCACATTGGGGGTTGGGGCTTTAACACATGAATTGGGTGGGGGGGCACAATTCAGTCCTTAACAGGTACCTCTGCCTCAAGTTCTCCCGTAAGTTGCAACCAAGGTGTTGGTGAGGACCCCAGTCTCATCTGAAGGGGCTGAAGCTCACGCATGTGGCTGTGGCTAGGATTCAGGTGCTCATGGGCTGCTGGGTGGAAGGCCTCGGTTCTCACTGGCTGTTGGCTGGAGGCTTCTTTTGCCTTCCTTGCCACATGGGCTTCTCCATAGGGCAGTTCACATGGCAGGTGGCTTCCATCACAGGAAGCAAATGAAAAAGCACAAGAGGGCACACAAGAGGGAAGCCCCAGCTTCCTTGTAGCCTGGCCTGACACCACAGCTGACAAGACTCTGGGTGTCCTGGGATGGGGCAGATGTATTCCACATGTGAAAGGCTTGTGAATTGTTGGCATATTGACTGTACATACGGCCAGGAATAACTGCTCCCTTCCCAGCCCTCCCATCAAGAAGTGGAGTCTAACTGCCCTTCCTCCCCATGAGCCTGCACTAGCGCTGCCTTGTTTTCACCAACAGGATGCTGGAAGTGATGACATATGACTTCTGGGCCTGGGCCTTAAGAAGACTTGCAGTTTTTCTTTTTGCATCTCGAGATCTAGCTGCCACGTAAATAAGCTTGGGCTAGGTGACTGAGTGAGGAGAGGCTCCATGGAAAGGCAGAGGTTGAGCCAGCCTCCAGCTGTTTCGGCCGCCCCAGTCAAAGCACCAGATGTGTGAATGAAGCCATCTTGGGTACTCCAGTTCTAACAGAGCTCCCAGGTAAATGCAACCACACGAGTGAACCCAGCCTACAACAGGAAGCAGAACTGCCCAGATGAGGCCAGCCAACCCATGGAACTGTGAAAAATAATGATTCCTGTTTCAAGCTACTAAATTTGGGGACTGTTATCCAGCACAGACTGACAAAGCCATGCCTTGGTGAGCATCTAGAATGCTCATCTACAGCTGGTCAAAGTGTAAATTAGTATAAGTACTTTGAAAAACTGTTTGGCATTATTTTGTAAAGTTGAACATATGCATACACTTGACCCAGCAAGAAAGCATGCACCTGTGGGCCAAATAAATCAACAAGAAAATTCATAGCTGCATTGGATAGCTCCAAACTGGAAACAACCTAAGCAACTATCAACAGTTGAATGGATAAATATATTGTCATATATTCATGCAATGGAATACTATAGATCAATGATCTGCTACACACAAAAATGTGCATGAATTATACACATAAGATGAAGGTGGAAACAAAACACATTTTGTATTGTATCATTTATACAAAGTTCTATGCTAAAGTATTAGAAGTCAGGTTAGTGGTTATCTTTAGGGAGAAAGAGAAGGTAGTGACTAGGAGGGAGGATGTGAGAGGTGATTCTGGAGTGCACGTACTGATCTAGCAGTGGGAGCCTGGGTGAGTTCACTTCAAAATTCATTGGGTGCTACACTTAACGATTAGTCTATTTTTCTATATCTTCTATTTTGATCCAGAAGTTTTAAAACAATAACATAAACACTACTAAGTTGTACAGTAGTACAGTAACAATAAAACACTACTAAATATCTAGAAAAAATTGAAGTGCAACTTTCTGAAGTAAATTAGAAACCTTTACTGAAAAAAAATTTTTAAAACCTAAATAAATGGAGAGATAGGCTTGATTCAGAAAAATGAAGAGACTCATTTTCTCAAATTGACCTACAGAGTCAATGCAATCTCAAAAAACTCCTAGAGATGTATTGCGGAGGAGGGGCGGGCGTGTAACTGGAAAAGCTGATTCTAAAATGTTTTTGGAAATTTAAAGGGCCAAAGGATTCCA